AAACTGCTTCTGTTAGAACAGTCCAGGCCACATTGATTCGAGCGCGTCCCATGATCAGCCGGCTTAATGCAGACTTACGACTTACGTCCATCGTTAGCGCAAGATTATATAATTATGGTGGCGATGGTTATCCGGTAAACAACTGGAAGGGTGTCCAGATTATTCTTAATCACCTGAAGCGTAAAATGTCCCAATGTTCGACAGATTATTTCCATCCAACTGCAAACGCTGATACAAGTACAACAAAATTGCTCAATAGCTACTGTAGCCGCTTGACGAACTTGCACCACAGAGTCTGGTGTACGAAAAAGTTACACACGCTGCTCGCTGTTCTTCTTAACGTGTGCGATGCCCGACAAGGGGAAAGGCAACGGCCGGATCTAAAAGTGGTGGAAGTTTGTCTAGCGGTAACAGTAATATAGCAGGTCAAGGTGTTGCAGTCTTGTTTAACCCGGCAATGCCCGAGGTATCAAGGAATTTTTTGTCGAAGTAGAAATTCATACCATAGAATAACAATAATATAATGAACTGAAATTATTTTGTTCAAAGTTTTTGCTGCAGTAATTTTAAAATTTGAAGGGTAGGTGGAAATTCTACCGCTTGGGCATTGACGATATACTGTAGCCGCCCGCACAAGTTGCTCCACTGGCAGTTCCGATTGTTGCTTTCCTCCTGCACACGCTGCGCTGAACAGCGAGCAATGTGTGTGCAATTTGCACAGTTCAATTATTCGTATACCTCGCTCTGGGGAACAACTTGTGCGGGCGGCTACAGTACAATACGTACGGTGTGGGCAAGGTGGTTGCCGGTGCGACACCACACCAATTCCGCTGTACACAGCGTTGTGGCTACTTGACCTAGTCGAATCAACCTGGCTGTGGTAGCTGTTTACAATAGTTAGCTTATACAGTTTAATTTATCATGAAAAGATTCATGGTTGAATTTGTAGTCAAAAAAATGTGTCATTTCCGGTCAGTAGGCAACAGGGTCATGGTGGGCTGCGCTAGTTTACATGTGCACAACACTGATCACAGCCAGCCATACTTATGGATAGCAAACAGGTCATCCTTTATAAGATCTAAGAGAAAATCGAACCATTTTAGTTTGTCGTAGACAAAGCATGCGATTTTATGTTACAACCGCTGATGTGATTGTTACCTCCTGTTTGTGTTCTCTCGATGTTGTTCAGTTCTCTCGATGTTCAATGTTGTTCAGCTGTCTGAAGCCCTGAGGGGGCAACTGCTCCGTTGCAAGGACAATAAACTTCGTTATTATTATTATTTCTGTGTGGAAGCTGCAACCAAACCGTGGATTCAAATCCTACGCTATGTCTACGAGAAACTTCGGATGCGTCGATATTTTCTTAAATCTTATAAATAACAACTTATTTTGGTATCAAAATTCTTGAAATAATTTTCTCTTTCGTTTGAGATGTCGGTCAACGGTTTTTGTTGGGAAATGCGCATGGTGCAAGTGCTAATGTCAGCAGGCCAATGGCCAGTCAAAACTTTGGTTGTTTCGGTACAGAACAGTTCCTGGTTGCGCGCGTTTCGTGATTACATGAGCGTTAGATAATTTTGATGTCCACTGTAATATGAGGAGCCGACCTGCTATCTTATTGGGCTGTCCTCATATTGTCATACATACCGAAGGTATTAGCGGGCTGCCGGTGCCCCAACGCGTTGGACTTTATCACACATTTGTTTAGTCTGGAGTCTGGAGCGTCACCTGGAGCGTTGCTCCAATGTATGGAGCGGTGCGCCTGTGTCCACGCTGAAGCCACTGGCTGTCGCGCAAAGAAAAGCTATTCGAGCTATTGCCGACTATGCTGAAGTGTCCACCACCGACCTGAAAATGAAGCAATACGAGATTGCGCCATTGTTTGCGCGATGAAAACACCAGAAGCGACGTGGTTGTACAAAATTCTGCACCCGGAGACGTTCCAAGTGCCCCGTTACCTCAGCGAAATGACCATCGTAAAGCAGCATGCCAAACCGTAGAGCCTTCGAAGCGGAAACAGGACCTTCATCGAAGGACGGGGAAGGACAAGGACGGGGAAGTCCACGTTGGCGTGGAGGCTGAACAACACTATGAGCCAGCTAACCGAGGCCGGAAACGGCATTCTTAGTAGCAGTTCACTTGCTGTTTTTCGTAATGCATTGGAGCATGTTATCATTACTTAACTGCCTTCCTTTTCTTAGTACTTCTCTTTGCATTAGTGGCTTTTGCTCTAATTTCATTACGATGCCTGTTTTTAAGCCAGGTTTAAATTCCCTGCTAGATTTCGATCCTAGCTTTTAATGGGTTACCTGCTTGCCGTACAATAAACAATAAACAATAGCATACAGAGTACTTCCGATGTCCAGTACGAATGCCGGGTATGATAAGAAGCCGTGCCTGGATTTAACACTTATTAGGGGTCGAAAAAAGTTTTTGTTACGCGCGGGTCGACACCCCATATTAAATCGAGGAAATCAAGGGAATATGACAGAATCATCTGGCGGCTTGCATCCGAACTCATACATATACGTAAGATATGTAGGGCGAATAATGAAACATACGATGAACATCGGTACACGTTCGGCACGAAGCCGCACGATACTGTTTTTTTCACGTTTTATGCGCTAGAAGGCACTTGTTCAAGGAACCCGTGCGTTGTTCTATTCGCAGTTTGATGCTGATAAGTACATACCGCTGTCGAACAGGTATAGTAATTAACGGGGAAAATGGATACACTGTTGCGCTTATTTAAAGTGCCCAAATTTTCCGATCACTTTGAAAAGGTCTACAGTGTCAGATCATGCGGCTAACGTTCCGAGAAAGTTTTAGTATAGACCCACTTCTTTGCTTGCGTTCATCCCGGTAGTCCAATGCTGTCGGCAACACATCACGAAAAACCATTAGTTATTGCGTTATCCAAATCTATTTGTATTACCAGTTGAGGGTTTCCGCCGCGGGGCATAACCGCACACGGGCGCTATCACATTTCGTTTTGTGATTGTTTCTTTGTGATTTTGTGCCGCAGTACGTCCGTTCGCGGACAATCGGTGTTGACTCATGGAACTCTCGAGTCGTGCGATCAACAATTTACCGCGAACGATTTTGGCGGATGTTCATGGAAAACCTTAGCAAAGAAAATCTTTAAACCTGGACACCTTGTTGAATTTCGTTCTGCTGATTTTCTTTAGTTTTCCTACTTTTCTTAATTTTCCGAGTTTTCTTTGTATCATGACGTACCTCATATTTTTTTCCAACTTTCGTAAGTTTATCCATTTTCGACCGAAGCGTAGCGAAGGTCCTCTATGTTCAGCGTTCATGAAAAATGTGGTGTCTGTCGATCACCGCCACCTAATGCACACATGCGCGGTCTTCCTACTATCACATGCACACATGCGCGCTGGCCGTATATACTCAAAGCGCTTGCAAACTGTGGTGTCTGTCGGTCACCACCACGTAATGCACACATGAGCGGCCTCCCTACTATCAGATGCACCCATGCGCGCATACAGACATACTCAGGGCGCTTGCAGACCGCGGTGTCCGTCGGTGAACGCCACGAACGTCGGTGTAAAATGTGATATGTGGCATCCATAGGCCACCGTCCCTCTTTATAAAGTGTCCGAAGGCGCGGTAGCTGTATGCAGATGCAATTGCTGTTTTGCCTATTGACGTTTCAGAGATATATTTCTCTGAAATATGTAATTCTAAGTTTTCATTTTGCGTTCCTGTTTTTACACCATACCGGTCCATACGTAAACGATTGCATTGGCTCATCGGTCACCACCACCCTACTTGAAAACCTTAAAGGTGCAAGTCAGTTTATACTTGTGGCTTGCGACAACCATGAGTTCTTTTTTTGGTTACCTATACAGCAGTATCCTTCTACCATTACACAATTTGCTGCTAAAATAACTCTGAATGCTTGAACCGCTCCATGAATTTGAATACACAGCCCGGAAGTACGTAACAACTGCTCAGTGGCACAAGCGCAATACCGGCATGGGCAAGCTATCAAACCGCATTACAATCACTTGGTGTAGAAAACTAGCTGTGGTTGTTAACCACATTATGGCACGAGCGCGGGCGCCAATACCACTGATTAGTGGTACTGGGTTTGTGGAATTGGAAAAGTAAGCCGTGACGCTCTTCGTGGCGTCAGACAAATTTATGCTCTTGACGATCAGTTAATTGCAGCAACTCGCGCTTCGCGCTCGGTGCAAACGAGCAAGTATTTCGTCGGGAAGTTACCGTCATCTACTCGAATGGTAACCGGGTAAAACAAACAATACTTGAAGATACCCGATTCGTCAAAGGTGAAATTTGGAAACTGCATTAAACGTCTAGAAAACGTCTACAGAAAACGTTGTCAAGAAAACGGCTACAGATGGTGAACTCATGCATCCGTCGGCAGTTGCCGTAACTGAGACAGCAATAATTTTCCTCGAAGTAGGCTTTGGAGAAATTTTTCAATAAGCCCGGCAAAAATGACTCTTCCAAAATTTTTGCCATGTTCCGAGAACAGCGGATTATTTATATGTCAGGGAGACCTCACCGTGACTTATCTTTGCATACTTCATAATCGTATAAATTTGCCGCTACGCTTCGGTCATGCAGTGCCCGCCAGAAGCGAGTGCACTTTCCTAGTTCTTACTTTTTTTGTTTCTTTGTCTTCTTAAGCTTCTTAGTGCGTTTCTTAGAGATTTTTCAACACAACTGCGACTACTTGCCTTACATGTAGAGATTTTTTGTGATACTGTATACAGATACTTATATATCGACGACACTTACACCAATATGAACGATATACGTAATATATGCTTTTTATAACAGTTTTCAGTTTTCCGGTTTTCATTACCAATCTTTCAAAAACTTAAGCTAAAGCAAATGTAGTAAACCTTTCCATATAGTCAAATCCGTCATGGTACAACATGCACAAGAAACCAGCGAGCCAAGAGAAAATCTTTCCGCGCCGATATTTCGTGCCAATATTGGGAGTGTCTTTAAGGAGCCATAAGAGCACGCCCCCTCGGGGCGGCACTTTTATCCCACCACTTTAGAATGACAGAACGAAGATTGCTTAATGACAGCGCAAAAACAATGGGATCCAAGATAGCCTGCATCGGATACAAAAACAGGGCTGCTTTCTTCAACTGGATTAAACTGGAGCTGACGCTCATAAAACCGGCCTCCATAAAACCGTCCAGTGTAAAGTATAGTTGAGCAGGGGCCCAGCATATCGCTATACTACACGTCAGCAGCGTCAGGATCAGGAAAGGGCGAACGGAGCCGTCGTTCTTGTGGCTGGTAGCGGTTGTTGGCTGGCTGCTTGCTGGTGCTATCTGTAGAATAGTAACCTTTGTATATTGCCTTTGTAAGTATAGCTGCTTCACAAAATGTGCTGAAGTCTGTACTGTAAGTTCAACACCGCGCTCACGCAAAACTGAACGTACAAATTTGTCAGGAAATATTTTGCGCGCATCAAAACAGCGAAAACCACTAACGCCGCACACCATACTACGGCGCGCCACGCCACGCTGTTCACTCTTTACATGAATCAGGCATGGCTAGTACACCCCAAATCTGGGTTTAAAAATGAATATCGAGAGAATTCTATCGATTACAACAATAATTGTAAAAATAGTTAAAAACTGTAAAGTATAATATTGGAGGTGGAATATACAGCATTGCAATACAAAGCATAATTATTCATCGTTCTTGTAATGTAGTGGCCACCATTCAACTGCCAACGGTACACACAGTATGCACTAGCTGTAGCTTTACGTGTTACATTTCCGGACAGCCTTGTACGTACTTTGTTAGAGTTAGCCTGGTTATGGGATCCGTCGATCGGCATCGGCGATGCTGTAGATGCTGCAGTTCTCGCCCGCCGCCGGCGAAGAAATTTGTACAGAATGTAGGGATAAGAAAACAGTACTATTACCACGGGCAAATTAAACGCCACCATGTCAGTTGCAAGTGCATACACCGTCTGTTCAGCCGCGTTTAAATAGCAGCCAAACTCTCCCGGTGCCGGCCGATAGTACAATTCGTCGATTAGGAAAATGGGAAAGCATACGATATGCACATACGCTACCATGCCGACCGCAAGCAGACACGCCACTTTAGTGTTGTGCCGATTCCGGTAAGACAACGGAAAGGTCAGCGCCCACAGACGATTGACGGTGATGAGAACGTGCATGTGCATTGCCACGCCGGCCATCACCCAGATACAGTAAATGAATAAACTGCAGGTCCCTCTGGGCATCCACCAGCGCCCGTACAGCGCCTCCAGAATCTCCGATGGATATACCCCAACAGCGAAGAATACATTTGTTGACAGAAGCCCAATGAGATACACGTTAAATCCGGTGCGCAACGTTTTGTGTCGAACAAGGAAAAGCAGCATGGACACATTGAGAACAAGTTGCAGAATGAACCAGATCAAGCTGGAAACCGCCGGGTAATTCCAGTCGGCAGTCGACGGGACGGCGGCAACGGAAGCGTTTGTCGTGATATTATTTAACGTAGCGTTCATGTTGCAACTCAAAACTGATATACGTACTTGGCTTCAAAAATGCGGTGAACTGGAGTCTGGAGCGACGGTGCACTCGTTGGCTGCTTCAGCTTTACTCGCGATTGTGACGCCAAAGTGAAACTGACCGTTAATACTGTATACACACGAGTTTATGAGACCGAAGTTAATGATCCTGTGCCGTCGCATGTTGGCTGGCACTCATCCAACGGCACAGTCACAGGAATTCAAGAAAGTTCCACAATCAATTTAAACGAGAGTCGGAGACAGCATCAGCTGGGGCTTTCTTCATGAGATTACAGTTTCCGCTTGCCGAGTGAGATAGATGTCCGGTGGCGGAGCAACATACACTTTCCCCCAGGCGGTATATATGGAACGTTTCGTACCAAAGAAAAAAACTGGAACGTTTTTTTCCTTCTTGTAGTCACTGTAGTCATCTGTAGGCAACCTTTAGACACCCTGTAAAGAACCTGTATACATCCTAAGAAAACCTAAGAAACCAGGTGACTACAGTATGTCTACAGGGTGTTCTACGGGCTGTCTACAGATGACTACCGGTGTATACAGACAGAGCATCGAGCTGAATTTAAGAAAGGCTACCTGTATACAGCGATAGACATCCGTAGACAACCTGTAGACACGTTGTAGACACGCTGTATACATCCTAAGAAACCATGTGACTACCGATAGGTCTACAGGGTGTCTACAGCTTGTATACAGATGTCTACTGTGACTACAAGAAGAGAAAAAAACGATTCACTTTTTTTCTTTGGTACGAAACGTGCCACAGGTGTATACAGGCGGATAAATACACCTGAAGAATGCCGGTAATTGGACCTTGTTAAAAGCTATCTGCTTGAGACACGAACAGATTATGGAAGCAGGTGCAATGCTGCAGACTGTTATAAACGAAAATCCTCTACACTAAAAATTTGGGTATTTAAATAATTAGAAAATTATGATGACAGTTTAGTACTGTATCTCGCTTGCAGGTTTAAGTATAACAAGTATCTTTAACTGTCATAGGTAGTGCAACAGTTGCACTACCTATGACAGTTAAAGATACTTGTTATACCTAAACCTGCACTGCAACAGCTCTGTAATCTGCAGCAAAGAAACCAAAATTCGCGTCGCCCGAAATGTAATGTGGCCGAAATAATCGGCGTCCGAGCTGAACGAATGCCGAAAAGCTTTGGCCGAAATGAACGGGAAAACGGCCAAAGTGATCGGTAGCCACAAACAGCAAAGACTGGAGTAGAATAAGCCTTGTGGAATTAATAATTGACGTCGACTGTCTCTGTTGTGCTGCTTCGATTTTATAATAAAGTATTTTCGTCATTATTATTGCGCATAAGCAGTGTGGCGCGGCGCGCCGTGGTATAGAGTTTTGTGTAGCCAACGCATTTATATTTTTCACTGTACCGATACGCAGAAAATTATTAGACAGGATTGTATTTTCCGCTATAAGTGCCAACGGGAAGTGGGTCGGAGACATTCGTTTCTGCGCAGGTGGCTTCCGCTCGGAATTGTAGCATTATTTTCAATAAAATTCCGCACCCGGGCGTAAGTGTCGGGTCATATTCAAGGAAATCAGATTCTGCCCTTGTTAAAACCCCAGGTTACGTTGATTCGAGCGCCCCCTGGATCAACCGGCTTAATGCGGACTTACGGCGCACCTCCATCATTAACGCAAGATTATGTTCGGGTGGCAATGGCTATCCGGTAAACAACTGGAAGGATGTCCGGCTTATTCTTCGAATACCTCAAGGCGTAAAATGTCCCAATGTTCAACATCTTATTTCCATCCAACTACAAACGGTAATTGCGTACGACCATAACAAAATTGCTCAGTAGTTAATATGACCTATCAAGGTTTTAAAGCAAAGGCTGATGTAGGGTACGCTTAATTATAATGTCGCATTTTGATTCTGACACGTCGCATGATGGACAGCAGAGAGCGGCCATTTCCGCTTTCTCCATATCCCATCCATCTCTTATCCTTTAAGTTTTTAACCGTTTTTTAAACTACCGTTTTTTGTTAGTCCACATTCACTCCACATGTACAAATTTGGGCTCAATACAAAGCTCCTTACTGTTAGCAGCTACCCTACCGGAACAGCGCCAGTCTCAGTATTCCGTAAATTACTTATGCACTAATATGCAGAATGGATTTCAGTTTTCAAAGTAAACGGTTAGACTGAAAATATATGCAAGCGGAAAAAAATTCGGCTTTGTGATTAGTGCATTAACACTTCGTTGACTACGAGTTTTCAGCAACGAGGCTGACTTTCTTGGTGGAAGCCACCAGAAGCATACCATTGGTCAGTAAAATCTGCTAGCCAGTCGTTTTCTCTATTTTAATGACGTTTGACCAATTGCAGAAGTTGATAAGACAAAAGAAACAGTGTAGCGAGACATGAGGCATGTGCGCCAGATTTACTTGCGATGAAAGAAAGACAGGCACTAATCAAGCAGTAAATGCAACGAAATGCAATAAACTACTGTGTTGTCGAGTCAACTTTGCACCTTTTCGCACAGTGAGTTATATGCTAATCGGATACGACTCACTGTACAAAAAGGTTCCAAGTTGACTCAACAACACAGTATTCATTCCATGCAATCAGGGCACACGTTGAACAAGTGATCGTAACAACAGGGCGTCTGGCAAACTTTGCAGCGCTTCTTCGTTTTGTTGTCTCTCTTCTTTTCCGCATTCAAGCAGGGCAGACAGCGCTGGGAACTGTTGACTTGAACATCTGCGTCTACTGCCAGTGTCCCATTGTCCAGTGGTCCAATAATTTGATTTACCACCTCTCGATAACGCGGCAGAATTTTATTTTGAGCTCTTTTTGCCGCCAAATGCCGACTTACAAGGGAATACGCCAAAGTCTTCAAAAATTCCCTGCGTGGTGATTTGGCAAATTGTGGCATTTCTGAATACACGACGAAAGCGTTGATGGCTGAGATGTCGATAATGTTGTAGTAAACACTCATTGGCCATCGTCTGGTGATTCTTTTTGAGAAAGATTTGTCTGTCCAGACAAATCTGCTTATAACCGACAGAGAATGCCATGTCCTGATTGCTGTTCTGTCACATCCTTGCTCGACAATGGATGACCCAACATTCGGAGATGGCCATACCGGACATAACCCACTATATATAACTTGCATGTATCTTTCATTAGCTGCTGTGTTTAATTCAATGTCTGCGTGCACTCTAAAATTTTCTTGAATTTATCTAAGATTTTGTCAGGTGACCTTTCGGTTTTCACTGTCGTAATGGATCGGAATCAGTTGAAAGCACTCACCATTCCTAAACGTAAAGAGAGGTTAATCTTTTTGGAAAAGCGAAGCGATGGCCTTAAAGATGCCCTTGTCGACCGCTTGTTTTCTGCGTTGAAAGCAAATCCAGATTGTCTTAAAGACTTCACCGAAGTTCCCACAGCTACCGTCGCATCGGAAGAAACCACCAAAAAAGTGGATGATGACACCGTGCCACGGCTAGAGTTGTCCTGTGGGGATATCGACGACATTACCACTACCGTTTCCATTACACCGGAAACCATTGCGGAACTAAAGAAACAGGGAGTCCGAACCATTGAAGATTTGGATTATTTGAGCCAGGATGATCTGCGCACCATCGTGAAACCGATCGTGGACTACAACAAGCTCCGCGCCCACTTATTTGGAAAAGCAGATGAGAAGAAATTAGCTGATAAGCCACACCGTCGAAATGTGACCATTCCTGAAGAGGATGCCTCATGCGTCGTGGAGATCCAGGAACGACCAGCAGCATTCGACCGGAGCCGCTTAGATTTCACCGGGCGCCAGGCAGCACCAACTGGACGTACGGGATATCCACCAAGTCCTTCACCGGATTTCAACCGCGCCCCCTTCCGCCCGCAATCCCGAGGTGAGTCAGTTGAGCAGGATATTACGCCAGATTTTTCGGCACAAAAACCGGCAAGATGTTTACCTCGACCGCATACTTTCGTATATTGTAAAGGTCAGTCAGGCGAAGACAAATCGAAGATAGACCCATTAGAGATGAATTTTGATGATTTTTTGTACGGTTGCATCCAGACGATTCGCGAACTTGCTGCTAATCCAGAAAGCTATCCTATCCTGGCTGAATATTCAGAATATGTGGAATTTTTGGTTGCGAAAAAGAGAGATTATTTTCCTAGAAATATTCTAGAATTTGACAGTGAATTCGTATTCATGCGGCAAGGCATAAATGGCGGCTCAATGATTTCAACGCTTGCTTAAGCATGATTCATCGCCATTTTCACTCGGGCGCAATGGTTCCAGGCAATGTTCGGAACCGCCCGTACGACGGGCAGAGCCGTTTTCGTCCCCAGCAAAACCGGACCTTTGTTGCAGGCCAGCCGGCATTTCGCGACCCCCTTGGACCACCGGGATCTCACCAGGTCGCTTGCTGGCGCTACAATAACCACGAATGTGACGCAAATCCTTGCACCCTCCCACACATTTGCCGGTGGTGCTACGGAAGAAACCACCGATGGTCAGTGTGCCGCAAGAATCCCAACCGACCAATCGGACCGCCGCACCATGCCTACAACGGAGGCGGCCCACCACAGCACGGTTATAATGGCGGCACCGGCCTGCGTAACGGCAACGGATGAATCCGCCTCGTGGAATGATGCAAAAGCTGTTCAACATTTTAACAATAATTCACTTTTTATTAATCATGATTTAAATGTTTCGTGTATGAAATCAAGTGATTCTAACTGCGATCCTGATCTGTTTTTACGCTGCAGTCTTACGCGGCATGAAAAGGAATGGGAAAATGAATCAGTTGATGATTTTGATAAGGATTTCAAATTAAAAGGTGTTCGTTACGGGTTCGAGATTGTTCCGGATCTAAATGTAGTGAGAGACAGCGATTCGAAAAACTATTCAAGCGCAATAACAGGATGTGCTAAACAACAATTAGATAACCTTTTCCTAGAAGAACTTGCTGCGGGAAAAATTTCTAAACAAACTGCGAAGCCGAAACGGATACAGTCGATTGGTGCAGTTCCAAAGAAAGGGTCTGACAATTTTCGGCCAATAACAGACTGTAGCAGACCAGCTGATAATTCTTTAAATTCTTACATGTCACCAGAGCAGTTTTCGTTTCAAACGATTGACGATGCCCTGCAGTTGTCGTGCGCAGGATGCTTTTATTCAGTGGTTGACCTGAAAGCCGCATATCGCAGCGTGCCGGTGTATCCACCTCACCGGCAGCTGCAAGGTTTCCGATGGCAGTTTAACGAAAAAGAAGAGTATTTTGTTGATAATTTTTTGTGTTTCGGACTGGCGTGCGCGCCTTCAATTTTCAACCGCATTCCTAATGCCATAGTGAGAATAATGAGGCGGAAGGGGTACATGATTATTTCGTATCTCGATGATTTTCTCGTTATTGGTATTAGTTACGTAAAATGTTTGGAAGCTCAGCATTTCTTAATTGATCTGATTGGACGACTAGGATTTCTTGTCAGTTGGGACAAAGTAATGGGTCCATGTCAAAGCATACAGTTTCTAGGGTTGATTATAGATTCTGTAGGTATGAAAGTTAGGCTTCCGGAAGATAAATTACTAGCAATTGTTCAAATTTGTGAAAATTTGCTTTCAAAGGAAAAATGTTCAAAGAAGCAATTACAACAGCTAGTAGGCCACTTGTGTTTTGCTGCTAGGGCTGTTCATGGCGCAAGAATGTTTTCGCGCCTGTTTATTGACGTGATGAACTCACTGGTAGACGTAAGTCATCGAACCCGACTTACAATTCTAATCAAGCATGAACTATTATGGTGGAAGAGAATTGCTCAACATTTGAACGGTATTACTGTATATCGCTTTGGGTATACAAGACCAAAAATTTTCATTCGGACTGACGCGTCGTTGTCAGGGTTTGGGGGATATTTCGGGAGTACATGGCTGTCCGGAACTTGGAATTCATGTGACTTTTCAGATATCCTTAAAACACTGTATAACTTGGCTCCCTCTTCGAATGTTGACGTTTCACTTTTAGAAAATATAAATTACCTGGAACTGATTTCTGCATGTCTACCTGTTCTGATTTGGGCTCCAGACTTTTGCGGAGCGGAAGTATGCATTGAAAGCGATAATAGCACTACAGTGTCAATTTTTAATCGTGGCACGACAAAAAACCTGCAAGCACTGAAGTGGCTAAAGTTACTGTTTTTTACTGCAATCAAATTCATTATTAAAGTGCGCGCCATACATGTTCCGGGCGAAGATAATCACATCGCCGATGCCCTGAGTCGTTTGCCAGGAGACCAGTATGTACACTTGCTGGAAAGTGTGCTCGAAAAGCGACAGAGTGAGTTGAAAATTACAGAATGCTGCCTTTCCAGGTATCCGAACGGAAGGTCTGCAAAAAGTGTTGAGGACACTGCGATATACGTCGCTTGCGACAAGTACGTTACGGACACGAAACTGCCAATGGAACCGTTTTTTGAATCTCTGCAGAAAATGTAAGCTGAGGGCGATTCCAGCCAGCGTAAATACAATCTGCCTGTTTATTGCGGAATTGTCATTCGAATTAGAATTTTTGTCCATTCAGAATTACGTGGCAAGTCTTTCCAGCTTGCATCATTTCCATAACTTTCATGCGCCGGACTTAAATCATTTCGCAGTCAGGCAGGCAATTGATGGTGTTCGTCGTATAAGGCAGGAAGTGCCGAACCGGAAGTCACCCATCACTTTGACACACATTCGCGCCATTCGGCAGCACCTTAATTTAGTAGCTACAGATATGGGTAGCGCCTTCTGGTTGGCATGCTTGTTCGCCTTCTATTCCTTGCTGAGAAGTTCGAATTTGTTCCCCCTGCTCAAAGGTCGTCAAATCCGTTGTTTTTGCGTTTGTCTGACATAAGGTGTGCAGGCAGTTTAATATACGTAACTTTTCCAGTTTTAAAAACTGAGCGTCACATTGGGAAAACCATCACAATTCCTATAAGCGCGAACCAAGATCCAGGATTGTGTCCTATGAAGGCCTTAAAAGATCACGTCAGAACCCACTCAGTGGTTCCGGCAGAATCGTTGTTTTCGTACAGCTCTCACCGTGGAACGAGGGCAACGCTTACATCCTGCCAGTTTACGAAATTACTTCGTCTGACTCCGGATCACGCCGGTATCCCAAGTAGTGACATTTCGATCCATTCCTTCCGACGAGGTGGTGCAACCCACGCTGCAAGCATTGGCGTGGATGAACAAAAAATTAAAGCACAAGGAAACTGGCGCAGTGAATGTTACAAACGTTATGTCCAGCGTGATGCGGATCTACGGAAGTCTTAGGCTTATGCCCGGGATGTCGCAAAGCATGTTGGTTTGGGTGTTTTGGGGCCGCTCTGACGCTGTGCGCCCTCGCGTTGTGACATTTTTCCTGTTTGTTTGAGTCATGCTCTTCCTCATGGATGTGTGTTTGTTGTTCCAATATGGATGTTTGGTATGGTATCGAAGATGCCCGAAATAATAAACTCCAGCTTGTACCTGCCTTCCGTTTCGTCTGTAGCGTTATGAGAAAGATTTGTCTGTCCAGACAAATCTGCTTATAACCGACAGAGAATGCCATGTCCTGATTGCTGTTCTGTCACATCCTTGCTCGACAATGGATGACCCAACATTTGGAGATGGCCATACCGGACATAACCCACTATATATAACTTGCATGTATCTTTCATTAGCTGCTGTGTTTAATTCAATGTCTGCGTGCACTCTAAAATTTTCTTCCCGCCCACCACTCCTCTTTCTTCCAGGGGTGGGGCCGCTCTAACGCTGTGCGCCCTCGGTTGTGACCTTTTTCCTGTTTGTGCGCCCTCGCGAACAAGGGAATACGCTGTGCTTTTTCGCGAACAAGGGAATACGCCAAAGTCTTCAAAAATTCCCTGCGTGGTGATTTGGCAAATTGTGGCATTTCTGAATACACGACGAAAGCGTTGATGGCTGAGATGTCGATAATGTTGTAGTAAGCACTCATTGGCCATCGTCTGGTGATTCTTTTTACGGTGTAATATTGAACAAGCTGATCAACAGTATCAACGCCGGCTTTCGTTGCGTTATACGTCAGTATAATTTCGGGCTTTTGCTCTGCAGTTTCTGCTGTTGCGTCTGAATGGTGAAAACTGCTCAGCAGCATTACGGCTTTTCCTTTTTTCGGCACATAGGACACCAGAGTCAAATCTTTTGTAAATCCAAGGCGGCTAGAATACTGCTCCCTTTCCCTGTGAGGCAGAAACTGTGGCGGAATCTCCCTTTTGTTGCGTTTTGCGGAACCCCCCAGTCCCCTATGTCAACCCCTAAAACTGTTGTCACTCCCCCATGTTTTGATATCCCCACTCCCAATTCGTCGGATATGAGGAGCTCTTGGGCAACCGTCGTAAGAAAATAAGTGGTTCGCGGTACTCGGGACTCCGGTTCAGTAAGCGGTGAGGACATCGTTATGTCGACATTGCGGGCTAAACGCGCCAGTAAAGCTGACAAAGAGAAAGTGAAGAAGGACTACTGTCTTCATGGCATACTCCCTTTGGATCCGTCCCGACATCAGACACTGGATGACTACAGCAAGGATCTCCAGAGCGCCATTGAATCAAACGGAATCTCTGTCAGATTTCTGTCGACTTACTCTGCTAAAAAAGGCCGTAAGAATAGCCTGTTTGCACGTGTTGGTTCTTATGCTCCTGAGTCTGATAAAATGTTTACTCCTGAAAACTGGCCTCCTAATATTGGGGTGGCGAGTGGTTGTTCGCCCCCAAGGATGCTCAGTGATTCCTACTCTCTAATTACGCATTTTCCCCTCATAAATTTCAGTTCGATTTGACCAATAAAAATTACATATATAGCAGATAGTAGTAGCATATAGTATAGCATATAGTAGTAGACTTTGGTAGTAGTATGCGCTATGCATTGTATTAGTATAGTAGTACATTATAGTACTTACTTATTACTAAACGAAATAACCTTTAATAAGTATCATATTCCGGACACAAACTAAGTAGTAAGTACCAATAACATAATTAAATTTTTACAACAGAAACACTTCCTCTATGCTATCCTGGCCAGGGATTGTTCCCATTACAGATACTGCGTTTCCACGTTGTATTTGGATAGATAGTCGCTGCTTAAAAAACTCTTTCGACCGTTTCTGGCCGGTGGAAGCTGCTATGCCGTTTCCAATCTTATCCACTAGCTTTTTAGCTCCGTCTCCAGAGGGTCCGTAAATTTCGAAGGCTGCAGCTACGAAATCGTATCTTGATTGTAGCCAAGCATGTTTTGTCAGTTTCTCCCTTTCGGCGTGTTCAGCGGCTGCTCCGGGGTTCACACGGGTACGGTTTAGGTACTTATTACTTATTTTGTTATTATTACACACTTATTATTACTTATTTACTACTAATAGTAATTATGTTAGATAAGGTACAACAATTGTGTATGTAGGTGCGTCTATAATATTTAGCGCGAGAACAATGATAATAATGATTTTTACAATGATTCATGAAAATAACAATGATCCATAAAAATAACAATGATTTATAAAAATAAGTAACTACTTTACTTATAAAAATAAATTACCGTGAAATGCATCCAACTCGGCTCCGTCAATATTCGTCCAGTTTTTTTTGAATCGGCGTCTACCCTCGAGATTTGTGTTGTTGATTATGATTAGCCGCATCTGGTTAGTCATAAAAACACCGAAAGCTTCTTGTGGACAGTCAAATTGTGGATCGCGAACATAAGCAACAGGTCCGGGCCGTTTGGCCAGTATATCCGCCGCACGAGTTTTTAAAGTGCCAGTATATTTACGGTCCCACTGCGTAATCCCGTCTTTTGTCAGATATGGTTCATCGTTGACGGTATACAAAACATCGTCGTCATCGCTGTCAGATAAAATATCAGATTGATAATCCTCAAGTTCCGCCTCACTGTTCGGTTCTTCTAGCAGTTCTTCATCGTTATCTGCGATATCTTCATCAGGTTCACAAATATCGGGTTCGGGAGTAGGTGACCTTTTCCTCTTCGGCATGTTATGGGACGTTTCATAACGGACGTAACATAATTATTATACTGCACCTGACGGCCACAGGACTCCTTTGCGTTTCAATATACTAGCGGGATAAAACTGCAGGTTACTAACTTGCAACTGATTTTGTTTGAGCAATGTATACTGGTGCATCGCGATCTGTCTGGTTAGTTGGAAACTTTTTGGGAACAACACCTATTCATTGCGATTCTTACGTATCTGTTAATTGATCATCACCATTGTCTTTGATCATCTCAGCTGACCCGAAGCAAACCTTTGATGAGAACGCCTTTTACTGCCTTGCGGTATGCGCGTTTGAGTTGCGTTTTGCTTCTCGGCTGCATTGGTTGTCTTCCATGTACTGCTTCCTGATGGCCTGCGGAATCATTGGGCTGCCACCTGAAACTTCCCAATGCGTCCGATTTTTTTGTAGGCCACCAGCAGTACTTGTATTAGCAAGAATGGAGCTAATCAGGCCATGTACGGAACAGCATGCTAATGCTGTTCCGTACATGGCCTGATTTTTTGGAAATCTTCCATTCACGCTGTTTGGCGCTATGAGCGTTTGACTGTGCATACCCCAAAAGGATGGTGACTTCCACCATCTGCGGTTCTGGACTTCCGGCTGGACCGAGTGTGTTGAAAACAACATCACCAAAAACTAGACGCTTTTTCACTCACACAGCCCAAAAATTGTTGTACAATTATTTTTTTGAAATTAGTTATTGTATTAACAAGGTCACGTCTGGTGTGAGTAACCACGGAGGTCAACGAAAGTAGGGTAGAATGCCAGATAGAAAAAAGATGGTAAACCACCTAGAATGAAATTGCAGAAAACAAACGGCACGATGTACTTGGAACCGCCTTTTTGTATTACGGGATTTTTGTAACCGAATGAGTCGTATCTAAAGTATTTTCAGTACATTGCACATCCGTGGCTTTGCCGTGATGAAGCACAAATGTCATAGAATCTAAACGCTTTTTGTCTGTTTACAACCTTTTTTCTTAACAGCGACGGGCATATACGAATTTGCTAACATGTACAAATACAAAACTAGTTCCCCAATTACGCTTTATAAATCCATTTTTCAGGAGCGCCTTGGATTTTTTCTTTGCAGTTGATTCATATTAACTGGGGTCTTCCCATGGAATGATAGTTTCCACTTGCCAATTAAGAGAGATGTCCCGTTTGGCAGAGCAATATACGCTGTCACCGTGGCGGATGGATACCCCTGACCAATTCCGGTAAATTTGTTAATTGATCCCAGACTCCCAGTTAAAGGTCATTTGCGTGCTCATCCAGATGCACGAAGAAATTATGGGAACAAGTGTAATGCTGCAGCATGTGTGATAACCGAATAATTCTAATCATTTGCATATTTATTATATTCATAGTGATGGTAGTTAGCATCTCGCGGCGAAATACTAATTAACACAAAGCTTGAATCTGGACTCAAACATATAAATGATGCCCTTAAATTCATTGAAATTGTTAGCAGCAAATAAATAACCTCATTTGCACACGATGTACAGGAAGTTCAGCGGCACCATACTGCTAACTTTTACATTTTGGACGCTGGAAAACCTTTGTCCATGGTACCCGTGCGCTTCATCGTTTGGTAGTTTAATGTTGGCACACACTTACCGTTGTCGAGCAGGTAACAGGGAAATAAGTTTCCGTTTAGCAGATATTATCTTTATAAAGTGCTCACATATCCGTTCTCGCTTTTATTAAGGTGATATCCGCTGGAATGAAGTTCAGACGATACTGTGGTCTCTTGGTAGTGTGAAGCTGGGTAAGCAGAACGTCAGTGAATTATTGGACCAGTTATTTCCGGCGCTGCTTCCTTGCTTTTCACCCCGTCAGTGTCAAGTCACGCGGCAAATGTTTTGGGAACGTTTACGTAACTTACGCACTTCATGGCTTACGTCCGTCCCAGTAGTCCGATGCTGTCGGAAACAAATCATGACGATTGCTTACCCTAGTTTTTGTCGTACGTATCATGTTTTATTATCAATCTAAGACTTTTCGCAGAAGCGCACACGGACACTATAACATTCCGTTTTGAGCCTTGCTATTTTGAGACTTTGTTTCTAATTTACTGGCATTGTGCCGCATGACGTCCGGTCGCGGACAATCGTTCTGGACTCGTGGGACTCTCAGGTCATGGGACAATGCACCCCGAACGATTTCGACACGCTTTCTTTCGCGCGCGTATGGCGCTTTCTTTCGCACGCGTATGACGTTATCATTCTCAGCAGGGCGCCATCCGAGGGAAACCGAGAAACGGCTGAAAAAGGCGCCGATGGGGGAATCGAACCCCGGCTACGTCGTTAGATCCGCGTAGGCAGTACCACTGCACCACGGCGCAATACGTTGAAGTCCTTTGAAAGATTTTGTCGCTGTACATGAGCCGCTTCACTCCTCACATCATGATTCACCACGAGCGAATAATTTGGACGTTTTTGACAGAAATGTTTTCTGCGTTCCCACGTTTAAACAGTACGGTTTTGCATGAAAAAGTTTATTAAAGAAAGTCTGACAGCCTTCTTGAACTCGATTTCCTGGTTTCCTATTTTTTGTTTGCGTACTTACGTTAATTAGTTTAGATTTCGTGTTGTTTTTAGCTTCCTATGTTTTCTTAAGTTTTCTTAGTAAATTTCTTGAAATTTTCGCGACACAACTGCGACTACGGTATTTGCCTTACATGCAGAGATTTTGGTGGTACTGTACAGAGTATATTCCATCTAAAAATGAAAATTACACCAATGTGAAGGACGTACTACTTCTTCTTATATGTACTTCTTATAACAATTTTTAATTTCCAGTACTCATTACCAGTCTTCTATGAAGTCAAGCTAAAGCAAGTATGGAACAATGTTCGATATAGTGAAATCGTCATGGTGCAACATTTAAAAGAAACCAGCGAGCCACCAGAAAATGCGTCTGTGCCAGTATTTTGTAACCAATATTTTGAATGTCCTTAAGGAGTCACATGAGTGCGCCCCTGGGAAGCGACACGTGCTTTCCATAAGTTTACAATGGCCGAGCGAAGATTGCTTAAGGACAGCGCAAAAACGATGGGATCCAAAAGAGCCTGAAGCGGATACAAAACCATGGCAGCTTTCTTCAGCAGGATTAAAACATAAAAACCCTCCATAAAACTGCGATCCATAAAACCGTCCAGAGTCCAGTATAGTTGAGCAGGCGTCCAGCATATCGCTATACTGCACGTCAGCAGCGTTAGGATCAGGAACGGGCGAACGGTGCCGTCGTTCTTCTGGCTGGTAGCGGTTGTTGCCGTTACTTTCTGTATAATAATAACCTCTGTAAATTGCCTTTGTAACTACAGCACGTGAATTGCGAGTAGGAATGGCTAGTGCACGCCAGATATACTTTGTAGATTTACAAAGGAATACTGAGAGAATTAAATAATCAAGGAAAATACACTTTGGCGTGCATTGGCAGACCGGAGCGCAGCCTATAGTCGCTTAATTAAGATGTTTCAACTGCTTTTATTATTTTTTTTTTGTCAACAGTACTAATTACTGTTTATTGGGCAATAGCCGCCCAAACAACAAACAGTGCAAGCGCGGGAACACTACTTTACAGCTAAAATTTAAACAATAAAAAAGAACAAAAAAAAAAGTTTAAACATTTATTATCTTTTTAGTTGTTTTGAAAAACATTCGTCTTTTGATGAAAGGTTCTCACAGTAAATCAAAACTTTTGTAATGTCTCTATAGCTTCAGAAATTATTCGTAGTGATGCTACATGTCCAAATCTCAAAACCTGGTTTTTCAAGGAAAAAACGTAATTTCTAACTGGTGCCTAATTTTAGCTGGTAATTTCTAACGTAGTTTCTAACTGGTAAGCTGTGGAGGAGCTAAAGTATGTTGGAGGTGCTAATTTCGTCATGGTTGTAACGTAGTGACCACCATCTTACTGTTAACACAGCGCACAGTATGCCGTAGCTGCCGCTTTACGTGTTACATTTCCGGACAGACTTGCACTTGCCTTGTTCGAGTTTGTTTGGTTATTGCCTCCTTCGATGGGCATCGGCGGTGCTGTAGCCGCAGTTCTCGTTCGTCGCCGGCGGAAAAATTTGTACAGAAGGTAGGGATAGGAAAAAAGCACTACTACAACGGGCAAATTAAACGCTACCATGCTGACTGTATCTGCATACACCGGCTGTTTAGCCGCGTTTAAATAGCAGCGTGATTTTTGCGGTGCCGGCCGATAGTACAATTCGTCGATAAGAAAAATGGGAAAACATACGATGTGCACGTACGCTACCATGCCGACCGTAAGCAGACACGCCACTTTCGTGTTGTGCCGATCCCGGTAGGACAACGGAAAGGTCAACGCCCACAGGCGATTAACGGTGATCAGAACGTGCATGTGCATTGCGACACTGGCCAACACCCAGATATTGTATAGGTAGAGACTGCAGGTGCCTCTGGGCATCCACCAGCGCCCGTACAGCGACTCTAGAATCTCCAATGGATATTCCCCAACAGCGTAGAATACATTTGCAGACAGAAGCCCAATGAGATACACGTTAAATCCGGTGCGCAACGTTTTGTGTCGGACAAGGAAAAGCAGCATGGAAACATTGAGAACAAGTTGCAGAATGAACCAGATCAAGCGGGACACTGCAGAGTAATTCCAGTCGGCAATCGACGGGATAGCGGCAACGGAACCGTTCGTCGTGGTATTATAGAAAGTAACGTTCATCGTGCTGCTCACAACTATCACACTTGGCTGTGACAATGCCGTGCATTGGAGAGGTAAACGTTGGCTGCTGCAGCTTTACTGACGTTTTTGGCGCCAAAGGATTTTGCCCGGTTTTATATATGTGTGACTGAAGCAACTGATCCTATGCTGTCACAAGTTGACAACCGTTCATCCAACGGCGCAGGCACAGGGATTCAAGAACGTTCTGCGAACGGTTTTAAGCGAGACACAGGAATTCAAGAAATTTTCTGGAAGTTCAGTATTA